GACCCCCCTTTTCTAGCGAACCCCCCTGTTTTCTAGCGAACCCCCTAGAATTTTTGAATGAGTCCCACTCGGACGGAATGTCTGTTTTTAACTTACCCAGTATTAAATCAAAATTTAGCACCTAATTCATTATTTGGTCACCCGTTTTTAAATTGTAGCCTACAATACAAGCCTACATTCTAGAATATCTCAGCTTCAGAAGTTCGGAGATTTAAATTGAACGCAAACCATGACTCGATAGCTCACATAAGGATCATGGCAAACATCGATAAAAACTTTCACTGGCCTTTGGCTGAATGTTTGTAAGAAATGTACCAACCGGTAACGAAACAGCTGCTCTCTGCCTGAATAGTGATCGTAACTGAAAAATAATGATGCAGCAACACGCTTGGTCAACTTGTAAAAATTTAGAGCGTGTGAACACTTGCGGAAAGAAAAAATTATTATCGAACAGTCTAGTTCCCTCTGAACTTTATGGAAATTCCCGCGAAAGCAAATTGCAAATGACCTTTTAGTGCTAGAGGTTGCAACAAGTAGGTTGACCTGATATCTATAATTGCAGATTTTTCTCAAAACGTTTCACTTTTATCTAAAAAACGCCGCAATTCCCCGACATCAAAATATGTAAAGTAATGCATCATTTTAAAGCTTATCATTTCAATTTTATATTTAAAAGCGAACCCTTTCACATTTCACTGAACTTTTGACTGTAAACGGGAAATAGTTGGAAATGACAGTACAAAATGTGGTTGATTTCCCATGTTAAACACAATCCGCTCTGAGGCGTTGAGCAGATGCGCGCTACTTCTTCAATGTGATTCTATGATTCCTACATACTGTAAAGACTTAATTGTGGACTATGAACAACAGTACTGGTGTGTTATATTATTCCTAGGCATGGTCCTTTCAGTGGTGTAACGACGAGACATTTGGTTTTGGGGCGAGAAAATATTGGGGGCTTCTTGCATGTCAGTAAAGTAATTTTGCTGACGAAGTGACCATTCGGGTAATCTTCCTTAAGATAATTGTTAGGATGAAAAGATTTCAATTATTATGTGACTATTTAACAAAACTAGTTTTTTGCACACACAATTTAACTTGAATTTTTGTGTGCAACGTATGAATTAGGTCTTATGCACAAATCGTCATTTGCGTACATGTATTTCATAAGCCTGGATAAATTACATGCTTAATCCCATGTAGCTTTGCCAGTGGAAATAGTCATTATAAAACAATCATTTAATCAATCGTTAGCACGCCAAGGAGAGATACAGGGAGCACAGGGCTATCACCTACCCCCACCACGCAAAATAGTGAAAAAACGAAAGAAGAAATCAACGTAAGAGGGGAGTGTGACGTTACTCTGGGCCTACTCCAAAACAAGCTAATTTTCTATATTCTATAGTGTCTATGGTCCTATCATTTCTAGACAAAATTGTTTATATCCGACTCTTGTTATATTATTTAAGGTACCATTCCAATATTCAATAGTAGGCTAAACACTATCAAAATCAAAGATGGACAAAAATTTACTTTCCTTAGAATATTTTAGGCCTCAACTCACTTTTTTCTTCAGGTCCTCTAATAGGTTTGAATATAACAATAGAAACATGTTTGGGTCGCCAAATTCATGTATTTTTAAAATAAAGAAGTGGTACCGTATGGACAAAAGCGTGATAGAAGATTGTTCTGTAGTAGTTAAAAAAGTACTGATAAAAAAGCTAAATTATTATGGAATTGACGATATTTAGCTACAATGGTTTAAATCATACATATATGACAGATCACAAGCGGTATTTTATTAACTCCAGTCAGTCTAACCTCATGAATCTCAATAGTGGTGTACCACAAGGATCTATTTTGGGTCCCTTACTATTTTTAATTTATGTAAATTCTCTACCTGATGTAATGTCCTGTAAAGTTGTTATGTATGCAGATGACACCACTATACTTTGTAACTCAGTGTATAACCAGTCACTCTACAACAAGAACTAAATTCTTGTTTGACTAAAATAGCTGACTGGTTCAATGAAAATAAATAAATTATTAATATAAAGAAAACAAAATTAATGTTATTTGGAACAAACTACATTATTCCTGAATTTAAAGATCTTGCACTTAATTTGAATGGTGATATTATTGAAAGAGTTGATTCTTTTAAATACTTAGGTGTAACTTTTGATCCTGTACTAACTTGGAAAGACCACATAAATAAATTATCTTCAAATTTGTCTAAGGGTATTGGTGTCATCCGTCGTATAAAATACCCCATACTCTTAAAATGCTTGCTAAGTCCTTAGTATTACCTCTTTTTGATTATTGTTGTTGTGTCTGGTCAAGTTGTAATGTTCAATATTCTAATTGTTTACAAGTTCAAATGAACAGATTATGTAGAATTGTTTTGTCTGTTGATATTTATACTTCCGTTGATGTTATGTTAAGTTCACGTGCATGGAAACGACTACATGTAAGGTGGAATGAACAGATAGCCTTAATGACTTTTAAATGTTTAAAAGGGTATGCGCCATCTTATTTATCATCTAAATTTAAATTTAATATCGAATCCCATTCAAAATGTACACATAGTCAATCTCATAATAACCTTTTTGTACCACAATGGAATAACTGTCAAGGCAAGAGAACTTTTTTGTGTCGTTCAACAAAGTTGTGGAATGAACTTCCACACGAAACAACAACAAATTTCATGAACATGTCTATTATATTTTTTAAAAACTCTTTTAATTCTTAATCACTTCTATTATGATATCTATTTATATATGTATGTTTTTTAATTACTTTTCTTTTAACTTTTGTATTTTATGAAACTGTACCACTTTGAAAAACAGTACACAAGTACTGAAAGTGCATGCAGTAGAAAGACAGAATAAATAAATAAATAAATAAATAAGTGCGGGTGGGGGGGGGGATGCATGTGTCTCTGGGAATCATTTGGACTTGGAGGAACTAAGCATTTCCCCAGGAAGCACACAAGTGTTCCATAAGTGGTGGAACTTCCTTAGCAAAATGCTTCAGATCTGCCAATGAATGCATTTGTGGTATTTTAGTCTATTTGGTTTTATGAAAATTATAGAAAAGTTTTGGTATTGTCAAAGTTGTAGAGTGATGGGTGATGTAAGAAAGGCCCATATGGCCTCCTGGGCCCATTTTGACTCTGACCGTATGGCCCTGAACAGAATCCACCTTAATTATAGACTAATTAACCAGCTTTCCATATGTTTTTGTTAATGTATATGCACCATATTATACTAAATCCAGGAATTATTTTTTGAGATCTACAACAAAAATTGTTCACTGACGCTGAAAGTGAAAAAAAATATATACTAGGTTGGGATATGAATTGCTGAATAAGACAGGTTCACACACTACACACTTTTCATCATTAATATAACTAAACTATATATAGCGTAAGCAAAACCCGAAAAATGGAAAAGATAAGTACATCAAATTTATAGACGGTTTGTCTATATGAACAGCATAAATTGTATAAAAAAAATCATATCAAAGTCTATCGGTTCTAATAGATCATCACACCATTTCAATGTAAACTGACTTTAGAATACCGAAACGAGGCCATAGCCTGTGGAAGTTTAATTTTAACTTTTTAAATGACGATGCCTATTTTATGTGAAATAAAATAAATTATTAATATTTCAAACATAGAAAAAGACACATTAAATAGAAATATTTAAATTTGAACTAATTGAAGTGCAAGTTATAGAATATTCCATAAAAAAGGAAAGCTAGGCAAAAACAATAAAACAGTCAAATGAAAACCAATTCAAAACCATGATGTAAAAAAACTAGGTTTAAACTACTGAGGACGAGTTAGGTGATCAGCTGGTTAGGCAAAAGATATCTCCCTGCGCTTAAAATTATGATTTATGGAAAAGTTATTTTTTATCAATTTTATGTACAGTAGAACCTCGTTTTTACGTACCCCAGTTATACGAACCCTCGGTTTTACGTACGCTTCATATTGACGACGACGTCATCAAAAACCCTGAAAATATTCAAAACAAACGGCCCCTTTCAGAGCAACCATAAGTAAAAAGACTATAACAATAAACTATAACAAGAAACAAACCATAATGCAACGTATTTTCATTAAAAAGCAACGTTGATTGAGTCTAATACTGGGTTTTTATAATCTAAAACCATGTGAACTGTGAGATGAACAACTACCGATGGTGCTCAAAATAATTACTTTCCTCCTTAGCTTCGTGTAGCAAACCATGGAAAAACTCTGAATTTTCCACACGAAGCTGAGTAGAAATAGTTTCGTACACGAACGCTAATTGGTTGGCTCGCCTAGTGCATAACACATGGTTGCTGTTTCATGTACACGAACGCTAATTGGTTGCTCGCCCAGAGCAGAGCACATGGTTTAAATTTGTCTCAACAGGCCTGACAACACCACAGCTCTGTCGTTTAGAATAGGCATGAAAGAGATTTCCCAAGTTATACCTTTGTCGTATAGGTAATCTTACAATATTTTCATGTTCTTTAATTAAATAAAAGATGTAAAGTAATGAATTAATACACTAGACACATGCTTTTATTTGAACACTTTATTATGACATCGTAAAGTGATGAATAAAAACATTAAACACATGGTTTTATTCGTAGACCTAGAGGCTAGGTTTAGCCTAGGTAACATCAAC